AAAATGTATATATACTTTGCATCCAACAGTACAGCAAAAATATGGTTTTAAATTTCAGGCATCACTATGTCATCAAGGTGCAGTTAACACATAAAGACAAGACACAAAATGGCTAAAAGAAGAAGAAAGCCACTCGAGCTGTGAAGTTTTTCTTTCAAGATCGGGAAAACGATTCAAAGTTAAAACAGTAAGTCTCAACATAGGACTTAGATTAAAAAAAAAAGTGTTTTCTACAGGTTACCTTGCTGATGTGTTCCTTGAGGCATTCTTGGCAGAGTCCTGTTCTCCATCACTGTCCTCACTGCTGCTTAGCCTTAGGTCTTCCTCCAACCTACTGAGATATGGGAATCATTTGTTATTCTTCATATGTCGCCACAGTCGTTTGGAGTTACTGTGATTACTTTTAGCTTCTTAACTCAAATATTTACTGTTCAACTATTCCACTCACTACTGACAAGAAAAGAGAAAAAGAAGGTTCAAAGATGAAGCACTTACGTGGGCTGGTCATCGCAAGCTTTGGCTTGGTGGCTACTCGAGCTCTTTGATGAACTGCCTCGCTCTAAAACACACAAAAAGATTTATATGTATTGATTGAAAGCCTAAAACATATGCATTTAACTTTACTTCACTATTTTATGTGTGTGTGATACTCACTGTGCCCACTTGGAAAAGGATGAGTATCCTGAAATTAAAAATAAAAAATTAAAAGGAGGTGTTAACTTATTTTCATGAATCTCTGTGTTATTATATGACTTTGCATTCATGAGAAAGATGCCATGATACATTCAATACAAGCAGTAAGTAACAAGTTGACTTATCACATTAAGTAACCTTCCAAATAACCCTCCTTTGCTTGTCTTATGCAAGGTTTGATTCATACAAATGGAAATAGTTCATCACAACGTAATCACATTAATCAAACAGACACTGCTGCTGACCTTGGTGGGGAATGGAAACTTGGAGGGCTCTGTTTTACAGGGAGTGTGGATGGCTGTCAAAGGAGGGGGCCACGACTGAGTCATTTCCTGAATTTAAAAAAAGAAAGAAAAAAGAGAAAACAGAAGGAAAAAAACCCCCCATTAAAATTAGCTTTAAGGTGTGAGTAATCTTGATGGTTCATTCAATTATTTGAAGCAGATGGCTTTTCTATTAAAATGAGAGTTGTGTCTGTACCTTCAGAATTTCGTCGACACAGTTGGCATCACCGGATCCCTAAAGACAGAAACAGCATGCTTATGAGATGTATAAACAACATGATCTCAGTACAGCATGTGTGAGGTGGCTTCCATTTTGAGCCCTATTAGTCATCCTATAGGCATTTTGTGAGAACTAGGAGTTCATTCAGACCATGTGTAACAAGCTGAGATGTCCTTTAACGTAATCATTACATCATTAAATCAAACACGTGCCACTGCTCTGACATAGTAAGCTATAAATTCTACATAAGCCGTTGGTAGGTCGTTTCTAATGTACGGGCGATCGTGGCTCAAGAGTTGGGAGTTCGCCTTGTAATCGGAAGGTTGCCGATTCGAGCCCCGGCTCGGACAGTCTCGGTTGTTGTGTCCTTGGGCAAGACACTTCACCTACCGCCTACTGGTGTCGCAATATGGCAGCCTCGCTTCTGTCAGTCTGCCCCAGGGCAGCTGTGGCTACAACTGTAGCTTGCCTCCACCAGTGTGTGAATGTGTGTGTGAATGGGTGGATGACTGGGTGTGTAAAGCGCTTTGGGGTCCCTAGGCGGGACTAGTAAAAGCGCTTTACAAATACAGGCCATTTACCATTTACAAACAGGGTTACAAGTAAGAGGGACACCTCTTGTTTTGAATCAAGGCAGAAATATTCTTACAATATATTTCTGTGGGTCTAAGAGAAAATGAAGGAATGATTACAGCATGCAACATTCAAACAGGCATCTGCCTTAAGAGAGACTTCAAAAAGCTGCTCTTGAGGTGATATACAAACAAAGAGCACATTCTTTAAATAGTCAACATACCAGGTTCACAACAGCATGAGATTGAGACTCAGGTCTTACCTCTACAGGTTGGGAAGGGATCTTAAGTTTGGCAAGCTTGGACTTCATCTCTCCCACAGTGCTGCTATGCGACTGTCCAGTGTAGCTTTCCGCTTGTGAACTCTTAGGTTCTGCTGTTTCCTGGCCATCCATAGGCCGCACGTAGGCTGTTGGTTTTTGCAGCATTGTGCTGGGCTTGGACATGAGAGATGGGGGAAAGGCCTGACTTGAGTGCTGTCCACTGGGGAAGGACGTGTGAACCCGTGAAGGTGAGTCCCAGTTGGCCTCTCTGTCTCGCGGTGACTTTGAGCGGTAGCGGTCCTTGTTGTGATGCTGCTCAGCAGACAAAGAGCTCCGCGAGTGACTACTGGAGGAACTTAGAGAGCCCTTTGCCGGACTTGACGTGTGTGACTTCGAGTGATCGGACCCTCCGCTGTGTTTACTTGACTTTTTTTCCCGCACCTCTCCTCTCTGGCTACTGTTGCTGCTGCCGCTACCACCTCCGTTGCTCCTCTGGCTGCTGTGCCCGCCCTGGAGTCCTGAGCGTTTCTGGGACTGGGATGAAGATCCGCCCGCTGCGGGGCCAACAGGGGTCCACTTACTGCTCTGGCTGCTGCCGCCACACCGCTGGTCCCCACCAAACAAAGGTGGACCCGACTTCTCCTCAGAGGAAGACGAGCTGTTGGATGGTTTACTATTAAGTTTTGGAATGGTGTCACCAATTGGCTCTTTCATTTCGTCGTAGTTGCCCAGCATGCTCTGGATACGGCTGGACAGTTTATCTTCCTTGCTCACCTGCAGGGTGAAGCAGAGGCAAACAAACAAAAAAGAATAATTATTGTGGAGAACACGAGTGAAAAGAGGGAAAGCAGAGAAAAGAGAAGAAGTTCAACATTTGAGGTAGAGGCGCTCAACCAAAAACAGAGGCGCAGTGAGAGGCCTAAACTCAATGTTCACTTTTTCAGACTGAGCCCACATCAGTCCAAACCCATCTGCGAACACAGTTACGCTCTGCCCAGACACCCACCACAGAAGATAATCAATCACTCTGAGGCCACGAGTTCCAGCCGACCTGTTTGCAATCAGCCCGTGACAAAAGTCTGTGTAGAGTATCCAGTTTCACACGCAGCCTCACGCTTCAGTTTTGTTTGACAGAGTCACACCGAGGGTGAAGAAATACTAGCCGTTATCTGCAGCAGGAAATGTAACTTAGCTTGGTCATAACGTGCACTCCACTACCTCCTGTCTGCGCTGCCTGGCTCACATATGCGCAGCTAAGTATCACCTATTTTTCTTAATGGCTGTTGGTTTCAATTTTGTTTTAGGCTGTTTTGTTTTGAGCAACTGCACTGTTGCTTTCACATAACACACCGTTGTTGCGTTATGTTTAACTGAAGAAATTTCTGAGAGGAAAACCTTCAGATTGTAACTCTGTCAAAGCTTTTTTTTTCTTGATAAACAATGGTGTATAGTGGTTGTTCAACTGCTGAAACTTTCAGAGGAAACCTCCAAGATGACCACAGGAACACTTTTCACCTTTTGGTTCCTGTGTGACAAAAACACTTAGTCCTGCAGCAGTACGGTCTTTAAAGCTGAAATAAATAACTTCAATCATTCACACTTCAACAATAACAAGCTACAAAGAACAAGCCACTGATCGCCATCTCTTCAACATTTCTTCTGCCATTTTGTGATATCCGATAATAACAGCCACAAGTTTTTGTTTTTAATCTGACACACATTTAATTTGCCTATTTTTCGAGGCAGACACAAACGTTCTTAATAGATTTTTAATTTGCTGAGTCACTTTGGCTTTTTGGGTCCAATTATATCCTGGTACCGTTAGGGTGAAAGCACCTACCCCGTCATATAATTTGAGGGATCCCTGATTTTTATTTTTATTTTTTAAGGAGCCTTTCTAAGTGAAAAGAACATGAAAAACAATATGCGGCTTCATAGATAAGCTTTTATTCTGTGCCGCTGAGAGAGTGCGTGAACTCTATGCCATAAAAATGTTATTGCTGTGCTGGTCTACATCTGGGAGGGCACAGCTGCAGCTGCATGCACACATGGCCTTTAATACAGAACACTAAACTTCCACTTAGTGGAGCATGACAGAGGAGAGAAAAGTCAAACTAAAGCTTATATAAGACTCGCACAAGTAGAGAAAACTCTATTGGACAGAGCAGTTTGCTTGTTCCAAAATTCTGCTCTGATACTGCAAAGACTGAACACCATCTTGTTCTTAAACATAGTATCAAGTGTGTGAAAACAGCAGATCACAATGTACACGGGTGAAAAGCTTCTTTCTTTGTAAAGGTCAAGGAGTTTTCCATCTTTAATGTCAGCTTTTTTATCTTTGTTGTGGCCCAAAACACTCCTCACTTACCTCTGGTGGCTTTTCAATTCCCAACCTGTCAGAACACATTCCTCACTGCCTCTTTGATGGCCAGCTCGAGCTAAAGAGAGAAGCCACTTACATCTGCTCAAATCTGGTTAGTGGCAAAGATTAGACCAGTACAGAGAACTCAAATCCTCTTTACAATTATATTGGCCGGGCAGGAGCCTGAAGCTGGCTGGCCTACATCTATGTGTGTCTGCAAGCACAAGAGGAAGCTCTGCAAAGAGGAGACATGTTTTCTGGTCTGTAGTTTGCTTTCAACAGCTGTAATGCCAAAAAGCTACCCAATGCCAGGTGTTTTCAAACTGTGCTGTATTTAGTGCAGAGTTGGTGAACTGCTCACAACTATCTGACAAGTATGTAACTCAAACCTCAAATCTTTGTAGAAACATTTGTGCTTTTAAGCCATAATTATGATTAGAACAAACACTGCACACAAACCTACCAATTTCCTCTTGAAATCGATGTTGCTGGTGTTCCATCTACTTTCAGTGAAGCTGGATCTTCACTTTCTGAGCATATCTTGCTTTTTTTAATCACACGTGAAGTAAACAAGATTAATTATTATTACCATTTTCTTCAGTATAAATACACTTGGTGGGAACTACCATAAGAAAGGAGCCTGAAGCTAAACACTCATCTTCACATAACCAAAGACACATGTTTAAAAAAAAAAAAAAGTCATGACTAATTTGCATTGCCACAAAAGCTTCTGATATTATGTACTATTCTCACCACAAAGCTTGACATTCACATGTCAGAATTCATTCCCCTTAAATGCTTGCCACAGGGAGGGGGGGGATTTATACTGTTTTGGGGGGACAACAACACTTCTGAGAAAAACTATAGACTTCAGGCCTCAATGTGTTTCTCCTCCAACTTGTAATTTCAGCTCAGTTTCACCAACACATACTGAGAAGAATAGCCTTAAACTTGCTTTTGGGCTATAGTTCACCTTAGTAACAGTGTGACCTGCCTGACGATCCAGAGGATTAACATTTCAGTTGATGTAAATCTACATTTCTAAATAGTTTAGCTCTTGGAACGTGCTTGTTTAAGCTAGCAAGACTTTCCGAAACAGCAGTGTTGTGCTGAATACTAGATCGCTGTAATAGTGTGCAGGAATTTCCCACATTGTAATTGCTTAATTTGCAGGAACTGATTATTATTATGCACAGTCTGACACCTTGCATTTCCAGTCACTATTACAGACTCCCTTAATATTACTAACCACTTACGTGCCAGATAAAGTGAACGTGAGTTGAACAAACTTACCACTTTGTAGGGTTCGGGGAAGAGAGGGGAATTTGCTGGGAAGGCCTCTCCTCCTCCCTGCTGGATTTCTTGATTTCGCCTTTCTCGTTCTTTCATTCGGAGCACATTCCGGTCTTCACGGTTCATGTTGCTATCAACACAGAAGAATAACAAGGTAGCATAATGAGAAGAAACAATAAACAAACAGCGTATGTCTTTGCTGAACACGGATGCCTGCAGGGGCAGTATATTATGAAAATGAGATCTCGGAGACAAGTGCGGAAGAATTAAGCAAACATATACTCTTGTTAAAAAGTCAGCTTGGAAAAATAGAAATGGTCAGTTTTTTCTTTTGTGTCTTTACCTTTTAAAAAATAAATAAAAATAAAGTCACAACAAGTATTGAGAAAGATCACACTACTGCTGTGCTCTGCTTTGACTCATTGTTAGCACAGACATAACTGTCATTAGTGAAATCCCACACGTATCATAAACAGGGGAAGTTGTGACCTGTGGAGAAAGTAGGTTCTAATAAGCTTAGCCTAGTCTAGACACTGTGCAGTACCCTACTTCATCTGCAAATAATCTCCTTGTACAGATGGTCAGCACAATTTGCCCCCAGCTGAAACTACCAATTCGATGTTTTCACACAGTGAGAAGGCTGTTTACATACTTTTTATCTCAAAACATCAACAGTTGCAGGAAACATTTGTGAGCACTTTGTTATTTATGATTGAGATCTGGGTAAATCCAAAGGTTACAAATCAATCTGACTGAACCACTAACATGTTTAAAAACAATGTAAATAAAAACTTTGAGAAGGTTATCAAAAACAATTTAACTTCTGTTCTAACAGCATCTCAAAAAGTAAATGTTGCACTGATGGATCTCAGATGTCGAAGATGGTCAGCTTGATCACCAAGCGTTTGACAATTACGTCAACAGTTTAGCTTATTTTCCTCTTAATGTATTCAATAAAAACACTACTGGTATTACCTGCAAATTCAACTCAACCTGCCCCATTACTGTTTTAAGTACACATCTCTGTTAATTTAAAACAAAAAAAAACAACAACAACCCCCCCCCCCCCAACATATACAAAACAGACACAAAAGGTTAGTGGTTCAGTGCCTACTTGCAGTCACTAATTACAATACGTTACACCATTCATTGTTGTATGCGATCAAGGGTTTCAGTTAGCACTAGTTTGTTTTCTCTTCATGCTGGAAGCTGAAAATAAACTTGAAAGCATTTCTCTCTGAGCGAAAGCTGCATTTCTTTTGGTTGGGGAGCACAGTATAGTAGATCAAGTAGTACAGTTTAACCTCTTCCTCCACCTGCTATCGGTTCTTCCTAAACAAGGAGGAGGGAAATCACCCCAAACTAATTTGCAGGTTTCCCTCTTAACAGACTTGGTGTTGTGAGCAATGCCTTGACGATAAATATATAATAAGGTTAAAAAAGAATAAAATAATCCTTATGGGATAATAAACCCTGGTAAATGAGACAAAAATGTAATTTCCTGGGAAAAATGCACAACTAGTGAGGCACAGTGGACAGAGCATGATGGTTTTGGCTAAGTTGCTACCTCAGAGCCTAGATGCTTTGCAACTACTGATGGATGGTTTAGAAAGTACACTGTGTCCTTGACCTAAAGCTTAGGAAAGGATAATGAAAGCAACAAGGCGACAACTCAAAAGCATAAGAAAACAAAGATGAGCATGTCGTCCTGACCTTAACCCAAACGAGATGCCATCCCAAAATTATTAATCAACTAAAACAGCTTTTTGTCATGTCTCATAACATCTATAACAGTCTCAGAACACTTTTTTTTTTACAAAATGAGTTTCTATGAAACTTACTAAACTTACCAAACTCAAAAGCTCACTTAATTTGAAGAAGAAGAAAAAACAAAACAATAACAACAAAAAAACTGTCAGGCTTTTCCAGTTTTATGACTAAATGTGTTAAATAAAGTCACGGAAAGTAAATGTGTTTATTGCAGACTGTGTGACTAAAATGAAAGATCGGGCCACATTTAAGAGCAATCAAATCACAAATTTTTTCTCGTAACCTGCAAGAACCTGATTGCTTTTAAAATATTGGTAATTTTGGGTGGACTGTGTGCTGGATGTTTGCTTGCAATGAATGACAAAGTTAAAATAGACTGTAATTATCTGCTATGAAACTAGCTGGAACTCACTGGGTCCCTACACATAAATAAACACACCCCGTAGTCTGTGTTTTCCTTCTGAACATAATGTGTGTTATTTAATCAGATGAGGATAAAGTCATATAAGGGCAATACCCCTCTGATCGGATGTATGGATTGACACCAGTGAGACAAACATCATTGCGACATGTAATATATCCATGTACACATTATTACGATAACAACTCAGAGCCATTCTAAAACATTACCAAAAATGCTCTGGTAGAGGAGAAATCAGGCACCTCATAGGTGCAGCGAGCCAAAAAAACAAATGTGACTTCCCTCTGCTGTGCACTTTGTTTAACAGAAAGCAACTACAGAGGTTTGAAAATAGAAACAAGCACGCTGTCATCCAGGCGTGTCGCCTCCCGGTTTAAGTCGACAGCTTCAAGCTCTGCCAGTGACAACAATGATTGTAAGGCTGTTGACACAGTGCGATTAAGCAGCAACCATCCGGCCTCCTTGTAGATTCTCAAAACTACACACAGGGTCTTTCTAATCTTTCCCAAGCATGACTAAAAATGTAAGAAGTGGATGAGAAACTGACTCAACGATGAGGAAATTCTTTATACACAGGGAAGTCAAATGGCGAGAGAGTACACTGGAACCTGAGAGTTACGAGGAACTGATCAATCATAAAAAATAAATAGATAAATAAACTGTGTTACAGACTAAACCTTGTCACCATATGCTGGTCAAGCTTTGAATGAACTATTAGAAAAGCTCATCAGTTAGTCTAAACAGTAATTTCCCAACCAATCCTTTTTTTTTCTTAACACAACCTTTAACCGTTTTATATCATCAACCCTGACATCTATGAGTAATGACAACTCCAACGCATTACTCATAGGAGGTATAGGGATTAGCCCACTATGGCTAGGGTTCATTAAGCCACACTTACAAAGAAGCGACTAAGTCAACTTTATTTCATGAAACATACCATTAACATCATGATCACCTCTTGACTTAAAGCACAGCCAAGAACCAGGGCTGGAAACACAAAACCCAAATACTAGCAACACACTTTGCATGACAAACTTTCTAAAACTGAAGTAGCTATGATTATCATCTACAGATAACATGGCCTCCTGCTATAAATGCTGTCCATAACTTTATTTACATCCATGCACATTTGATTGCTTAGATAAAGGGTGATTTTAATCTGCTCCCGCAGTATTAGTACTTATATATATATAAAAATTAGTTTGTTGATGTAATGTGGGTGCGGGCCTGCATGTGTGATTAAGCCACAGTGCTAAATAATCAAAGGCTCCAGGCAGGATCCTTTGTAAACACAGCTCATTTCCATTCTGCCAACTAACTTACCTGAGCTGTTAGTTGTTATTATTTGAAAAAGGGTGTGACACTTTAGTATTACTCGAGAGAAACTCAACAGCCAAGGAGGCTCAACTGTCTTGTTTGCGCCTCCTGGTTGTTGAACTTCTAACATTTATAATAATTGTTAGTAATAATTGTAGTCCGCTTTAATTTTAGACTCTTCCCAAAAAATCTCATTGACTTAAAAAAATTAGAAGAAAAAAAAAATCACACTTTCAGAGAAATTACCGTGGTCCTATTCACGAAAACTTTTAAGTTTGGATTCAGAATAACTGAGAAAGTACTCACTGTACCCAAACAGAAAAAAAAGAATGAAAAACAAGTGTTGGTGACATGATATGACCATGTGGCACGTATGTGGTAAGCCTCTGCACTCAATCTGTTTATAGTTTAGTCTTAGACCTGCCTCTAAACGCAAACTAGGCCTCAGGGAGTACCAAACCAAGACCCTGATCCTTAATTAAGAAATATGATTAACAAAAAGTTCGAGCAAGACACCATGCCTTTCTGTACACATCAAGATTTTTAAATTGTGAATGAAGAGTAAATCCACAAAATAAAGGCATGGATTTATTTCTGTAGAAGTGAAACTGTTACCGCACACACAGCTGGTTTTCCACAAACAGTTTTGTGTTCAACATGTCCGAGCAACTAAACCAACACTGTGGATGGTGTTAATCATAATTCGTCCAAATCAACCCATCCCTCACGTCACAAAGGTATTGTTATTCACTTTCAAACTGAATGATTAATTTTATGACTTACAAAATAAAGGGTTTTCCTTTCCAATTTGACCTAGGCCAAAAAGAGTGTACTATATATACTTCTCAGATATCAGTAGCTGAAAGTGCAAGCTATACAAATAAAATGTGACTAATCGAGAATAAATTCAGCCACCATTTACTTGTGTTGTGCTCAAAACAAGTAAAACCTTACTTTAAAGTCAAGATGCACACATAGGTGAGCTTTGATTGGCATGTTCCTGACTTACCAAGCCTAAATCCAAACCTTGAGCCACTCCCCTTCCTATTCCAATAAAATAAGATGGATTAACAATAAGAAAAAAAAGTTAAGTTTAAAGAACATTTATTAATATCAAGGTGTGATGGCCAGCTAGGTTTACTGTAGCCATTCAACACTGTGCCAAACTGAAAAGGTCAAAGTCTGAAGGCAGATCACTCTGTACCTAAATGAATCAGCTCGTATGTCTCGTTCTAAAGTACCACATAACAGTCAGATCTCATCTTTAAAAACAAACAAAAAACAGGGGGAAAAAAACCACGATTTTCTCAGTATCACTGAGTACAAGATCTGGCTTCTGGGACATAGCCATTATGTAAGGCAAATCAAACATGTCTCATCTGTCATATTCAAGTATTCACAATAGGATAAAGTTATGTGCTTTAGTCCAACCAGACACCAAGAGAAATGAGTAAAGCAGTTAAATAGCTCTGCATTTCTTACCCTGACTGAGAGGCCATGGCCCCAACCACTGAAACATTGGAAAAAGGAGGGGAGGAGGTTTCACAGGATCTCCCAGGAATTCAGAAGTATTCTCGTCATGACTTGTCAGCCTGAATTTCCACACAAACAACCTCCAGTCAAGAAAACCTGACCCCTTTTTTCAAATCTAGCTGTATCTGTGGGCGTCCAGCTGAAAGAATGTGACTAAAGTTTCTTTACTCGACTGGAAGGTACTGTGTATTTTCTTGGAGTGGAGACAATTCTGACTTAGGGAGGGGAGGCGACTGCTTGTTCTCGGGAAATACCATGTCGGCAAACAGCGGGGGTTGGTCACATGCGAGGTGAAGGCTACAGAAAGCAGCAGCAGCTTTTGTTTCTGTTTTGAAGATAAAGCATGCATGAAAAATGAGTGAAAGAGGTGAAAGAAAGAGGTTAATATTGAATAAATGCAAGGGTATATGTGCTATTTAAATGTTTGGAGTGAATGCAATAGATAAATTGGGGATAAGAGACCTAATTTCTCATGTCTATTTTTATAGAAGAGTGCCTGATGTTTGACTGAGAGCACTTTAGGCTGATTTTAATCTTTAAACCCCTCAGAAAGTAGCAGAGGAATAATTTAATCTGAGATAACAAAGCAAGGAGCACAAGCCATCAATTTGAAAAGCCTGCTGAAACACTGTAATAGAAATACAATTTTGTTTTGTTTGCTTTAGTCACCCACAAAAGGGGGGGTGACTAATTAAATCTTTAAGGAATCTTAAAAGATCACCTAGTCTTACTGAACCTTTTTACACCTTATTCTTACACACAAAATTAAGGAGGAGTGAAAACTTAAAAAGGGGGTTATTGCGAAGGAAATTAATGAGTTTGGCCTTAAGGAAATGATTTCCACAACCGCCATGCTGGCCAATTAGAGCATCTACAGGAAAACGGCATTGAAGAAACAGCGAGAAAGGGAATAAATCTCACCTCTCTCCGAGAATGGCACAGTCCACCTCCTCCCATAAAAGGAGATGTTATTTTACACCGCAAAGCCTCTCCTCCAAGTGATGTCACGGCCCTCAGCACAACCCAGCCAATCAGAGCTGCTCTTTCCATCAACAACCTCCCCCCACCCCCCACTATGCCCTGGAGCACAGGGCAAAGCACCCATGCAGCCTGTTAAAGTCACAGCGCTTAGGCTTCCAGCATGCTGGGTGTAACAAACATGAGGCTTTTTCAGATGATGACGAAACATGCTGACAAGTGTGGCATCACCGCAAGCTGTGAGGATTTTTATCTGGTACACAAGCTGACAAAATGATGCCACTTCTGTTCTTGATTTTCAGCAGATGTTTATCATTAATCAAGAACATTAAAGAGCGGGGCTTTTAGGTACAAGTGTTAAACATTCATTTATTGCTTTCAACAAAAATATATCTGAATTTGATCACATCTTTACAAGGTTTTGCCCTCATTATCTGAGGGTGCTTTGATTTAATTGCAAAGAAATTCAACTTCAATAATCTCATAAATTATGACAGTTTTACATGAATTCTAAACTGACTGTGCCAATTCTCCCCCACACACAATGATGCTCGCTGTGCTGTTTGCTTGTGGCGTTATTTAAAGTATTAAAACGAAGGCCGGCCTCCAAACTTTGGGAAACTCCATTTGATGGACTTTATAATAGATACAGCTGATATAAATAGTCATCAATGGATACCAAGGCTGTACAGTACTGCCAACAGCTGCATGTCTGTATCATCAGGCTTACGTTCTTAGAGATACTGTACTGGCTGGAATTATTTCCCATTCATGCTGAATCTGAAAGCACAGTGTGTTAGTCTGTCATTTCTCAGCACTTCTGGCAATTACATATGCCCTCTACTTTTATAAATAGAAGCACTACCCTGGGAGGATTTAATCAATGACCAGGCTCATGAAGTAGAAAATGTTAACAAAAGGTTTACTATGCACATTACAAATGGCTCTAATTTTGTATTAAAAGCTATGAGCTGTATGCACATCAATTCATTTTGGATATTAAAACATAAATACTGCATGTTCAGTGAGTCTTGGTTAAGCAAAACTACAAGTGTCATCGATCATAACTGGTTTCCAGGACTTTACAGCACCTTAGATTGCTCTACAGAAAGTATTCTGTAGCAGGTGCAGATGGACAGCCAGTGCCACCACCACTACCACCCCCAGTGCTTTTGAAGCAAACCTGCTGACTGCAGGAATTCCAGAGGGAGCGTCCATTCAAATGCAGCAAACCTGCCCTCTATACCAGCTGTTTGGTGAGGACTACAGGCAAAAATCACATGCAGCTAGGGCAAGAAGACTAAGAAGAAGTGTTGGGAAAAACTGGAGTGACTTTCAATCACTAAAACATGCAATACTTTTCATTAAGAAAACCCTGCAAGCCATATTTCTATATCAGCACTTCAAGAGGAAAGAAAAAGGCTTGATTTTCCTTGAGACTTTTATATCAAAGTGCAGATGAGGAATTTTTGAAGAGGGCAGTATCTTAAATTCCCGCTTCAATTAAAAGAATTCAATATTTCTATGTGGCTGCACATTAGCTCCAATTAGCATATCAAAACAAGTCTCGGGTCTTGATTGGCATGTTCTCTAAACAACTGCTTATGTCCTTTCATTAAAGCAGGATTGAAGCATTTGAACTGACTCGCTGCCTGGAAAGCCTCCACTCAGCAGGCGTGCATTATCTGAATAAGAGGGAACTGGCAGCATTTACCAATCACAGGCTCAGTGCTGAGACTGTTGTGCATTTACACAGCTAATTAACTCATATTAATTTAGGAGCTTTTTATGTTTAACATTCAGTAAAGCTGTTTACCAAGAGCAAAACGGTAAATCAGTCTCTTCATGGCACTGTGAAACAGATAAAAAACACTTAAAGTAGTCATTTTCTAAAGCTCTTCTAAAGCTCTTAGGTATCCAGTAGGCAAAGTAAAGTAGTAGGTAAAATATACACTCTAAAATCTAGAGTAACTCTTACAAACAAAGCTAAAAAGTACCAGGCTCGAAAGCTCATTTGGATTTTACCTAGGTAAACATTGTCACATGAACTCAGAAACAAAAGAAATGCTCTCACTTGCAGGTTTGACACAGATAACATAATGTTCAGTGTACTTTTTAGGCCACATCATTAGTGGAACATGACACCCAAGCCTCAGTTATCTTGGCAACATTTTCAAAAGATCTGCGTCATTCAAGCTCTTCAGAAGGCACAACAAGCCTGTAAAGAGGTTTTTCATTTTTAACCTGCTTCTGATTTATTGTATGATTTTAAACTCAGCAGACTGAGCAGCAGTATACGAATAATATTTAAGCAACATGGATTATACTGCAGAGAGAGAGAGAGAGAGAGAGAAAAGAAGCCATTTCGTGAATATGCATTTCATAAGGTTTTAGCTACCCATCTTAAGTCTATCAGACCTTCCTTTAGTGTGATGAAACAATCTACCGAAGAATAAACCATTCCTTAGTTAGTCATTTTTTACCTTAAAGAAACTACAATTATCCAGTCAAACTAAATCTTAACCTTCAAAACAGCAGGCACTTTGCAAACTAAAACTATAACAACATGCAAAGATTTCCTGAAGTTAATAAAAGGTCAAACAAGACTGCAGTTCTCTCTACTGTGTAATAATTTCCCATCCATCAGTCTCAGCTGTATTACTCAGAGAAAAGTCTGCACTACATCTAAAGCTGAAATGTCTGTCACTAACCTCCAAACATCCAAATAAACTTTCTCTTGTAGCTGGAATAAAGGCTCAGTTGTGGTTAAATGGAGGAGTGAAAACCTGCAATAATAAGCCAATTAACTGAAGTGCTGTCGAAAAATGAATCAGCAAATATTTTTGATAAGGGCACTGAGCGGAAATTTTCGTCATTTCTAATCAAAAATGTGCTGGTTTCAGCTTTTTTGGGTTTCACACTTGTTGATGTGAACATTTGAAGCATCACCAAGGAAATGGGTGTAAATATATACAAAGCACTTTTCAACATTTTATAAAAAAGAAAAGAAAAAAGAAAAGAACATAAATCCATGAGATTAATCAATAATGAAAATAACTGGCAGCTGAGCCCTAAAATGTAGACAATTATTTATGCAAAATGTTTACATAAGACGCTTAACAATATAAATCTACAAAATCCACATGTTATCTGCGTATTGCATAAATTCATACCTCTGACTCTGGGATTTGTTTCTGTTTATGTTCCTAATCCATTTGTTATTTCCTTCAAAGCACTTATCCTGCTTAAAACAAAACAAGAAGATACTGTGGCAATGAATTTCACTACTATTTGAGACATATTACTGCTGCCACCGAAAAAGACTGAGGCTATTATCGTTCCACTTTAAAAATAGTATTATAAAGCAGTATCTCACAGCACCAATCTATGCTAGATCTGTGAAATGAAATGGCCTTAATGAGCTTCACCTTCACAGGACTGTAAAGCCACATGAGAGTTTAACTCGCATCGCTGAGAACAAAAGCTGAAGAACAGATGCATGAGGTCAGGACACAGTGAGCAGCATATTTCTCTGCTGCGTGAGCAACAGTACTGAGGGATAAAAAGAGAGCTGCTGATGTCTGATTAGATTCGGGCTAATTAAGCTGGCAGACTCAGAAAGAGCCTTCAAACAAGTTACTCTCAACAAGCTTCTCTTTGTACAGGAAATAAGATTTGATTATGAAACTTACAAACCTTAGCTGAACACACAATTAACTTGTACTTTGGGTCAGGTTAAAGAGGAAAAGGTAAATGCTAAAAAGCTGTAACATCTGCACAATGCATAAACCAGACAAGTGCAACACCTTAAAACCATTTCTATCATCAACAGAAGAATAGCTTTTCTCTTTAAAATTGTGGCTAAAGAGGCAATTTTAAGCTTTGGATTAATTTTCCTCAAATGTAGGTGCTCAGATTTGAAATTGTGTACAATGGGCTGCAGCTGAACAGTCTGAAACTAGACATTGCTCACTTCCCAAATATCCAGCCAGCAAAACAACAGTGGAGTACATCAGGAATGTACAATAGGTGTGCCAAAGCCAAAGAAAACATGCACGCACTGCTCTGTCTGGAACGGACAAACAAGTCGCATAACATCTCGACTGAATGTGTGCCCTTCGCCTTGGCCACAGGGGAAACTGTTAAACTGAAGCCTCACAGCAAAACCCAAACAGGAAGTGAAGAGGATTTCACAGTAAGCCGTGTCACCGGTAGCACATTTACACATTACTGCAAACAAGGTGTTTACATCGCTGCTCCAGGAACCCTTTTTTCCCCCCTTTTTAAAGATTATTTTAAGCTAACAAAGCTGGTATCTAGAAGTCATCTAGCCTCAGTTGAATGTCAAGTATGCTTAAGGTTTTCTTTGGTGCTTCGGTGTGTGGAAACCCAAAACAAAGACTATCACATCCAGACATTGTACAGTCACATGCATCAATCTTATCTCTCTGCTCAACATTTTCATTTAAAAACAAAGGCATGACACATATATGAGCTATTTTTAACAGTTTAAAATAGCATGTTTTACCTGGATTAATTTTCCATTTACAACCTTTGAAGTAGCTCCAACACTTCAGTTCAGCTTTCTAACTTACTGCCATCAACACAGCTCTTCAAGCAAGCCTGGTGATGACATTATGTTTCAAGCTGCTACTAAGAGTATTTCAATTGTATAGTCAAACAAGTGGGTGACCTTCTGTGTATTAAAATACAGTAAGAGCTCCAACCAAGAGCTACACTGTAGTTAAACTACTTAACAGCGCACACAAAAGAGGTTTTAGCCTTGTACCAGAGGAAAATCACCACATCGGTGAGACATGGGGTGTAATTTACTAATGCAATAAACTCATTATTTGTTAAAAGCTGTCTGTAATGTAGTCTAGTCATAGTGTATAATCACCTCTCAAAGGTCCATTTTTTGCTATAAAAACCCCAACTTTATTTAAGATATTTGTTTATCTTCTAGAGTGGAAGCTGGAGTTTCAGACTGCACTATTGCCTGGTATTTTCAGAAAATTATTGAATATACAGCAGTTGTCCTAAACCAGCCAAGTACTGCAGCTCACTCCACTGTATGAGAGGGGGGGGGGGGGGGGGGGGGGGGAGTTTTTTCTCTGACATAATTGAATCAGACGGCAATATCAACACTCCTGTTACGTCTACATAACAACAAATCAACAACTGCAACCACAGTTCATGTACAGCTTTAGCTCCATCCACCATCGGACTAAAGTTGCTGAGCCGGTTCACAGCTACCTGCCGTGAACGAGTTCATGACCTTAGGGCATGAACTCGTCCCCCCTCCCGACTAAGTGCAGCCAACCATAATAAGTCAGTGGGTTGCACTTTCCTTGTCTCCATGCGTCAAGCCTATCCCTCCACATGCGTGCATGAACTACCCGTGACAAGTGTTGAGAGGAACTCTGGACTTATCACGCATTTTCTGGCCCTTCCCCCCTAACTATGGCACGTAAAATGGCTTCCTAGAAAAGCACATCAGCTGATCCTTCGCGCAACCAAAGCATACATTCGGATTAACTGTGCTGCCCTTCTCCCCAGTGTTGATTTTCCATGCAAATAAAGACTTTGACTGGACACAGCAAGGAGTGGCACTAGAAGTTAGTAATACAATAAAAGAGGAGGATACGAACCAAAACTTTATGCTCGTCGTCACTGTGCGAAAAATAACGAGTATCAACAGCCAATGATTACCTAAAACGACCATAAACTAGCACAGAAAGTACGAACAAGTAGCACTTATCTCCCATTGTTTGATTCCCCAGATGCTTTTTAATGGAGAGCGAATAGTCTGGATTTCAAATGCAAAGGAAACATAGTATGTTTATCATTTGCACGTGTAGTATCATATAGTTATGCCGCCGTCTGTAAGAGCAAACTTAGGTGTACAAGTTATGTCAGCCACGGCTAAACACAAACATCAGTCGTCATGACCTGTTAGCTGCCATGACAGGAACGAAAACATTACTCCTATCACCGCGATATTTTCCCCTACTTCCTTGCATAGAAACGTATAAAAGTAACATCTACCCTTCCCATCCATCGAATAATTAAAGTCTCCTTCCACCAGAACTCCAAAGCAGGTACAATGTCTAACCAAATCATTAGCAACTGGCTAGCACGCTACCTACACGACTACCTGCATATTTGCTTTAGCATAACGTTAGCTAGCCGGACCCTGCTAGTAGCGTATTAAGGCTAGGCTAGCTAGCCCTGAAGCTACTGATTTTTTTGGCGAAATTCTAATTAGCGTTCACTTCAAATATCAGATACCCTCTAATGCAGTCAAACACCAACTAACGTCTTCCATCAAAGTTGGCACCCTTACCTCTTGTCTTCTTTTTAGGCCCAAACCATTCTAGCTATTGGAAAGCTCTTTTTCTCTTTGTCTTTTCCACTTCCAGTTACACGCAAAACGGATTCAGAAAAAAAAATGCTCTAACGGCTAAAATACTAAAACCAAGTGGATGGTCTTCATCTTTTCCTTAAAACACGACGACACATCGAGAGGGAAACAAAATAAAAATCATTTTCTCTCGCGTTCATTTTTTGTTACTCCTGAACTGATAGGTAAGACTGCTAGCTAAGTTAAGCAGCCAGCAGGTACCACCACAGACAGGACTGAATGCATGGATGGCAAAGCGGTGGTGCATTCGCGGTATCGGAAATCTGTCAATCCCACCATCCAACACAGTAAACACTGTCATAAAGTAAATCTTAATTAACACGTCAGCACCGCTGACGATGTCTTTGAAAACACGATTAAGCCTTCTTAGCAGTTGCGAGTTTTATTTTTTTTTATCGTACCCCTCGGATAGCTACTGGTAATTCCCATTCGGTTTGAATGCAGCATTTCAGTGACGCGCAAGGTTGACCAGACTTTGACGTTTAGGAAATCACGTTTCATTGTTCCCTGATTGTACCATGGACAGCAGGTTATGACAAACCGTACCCTGCTTTTAATTCATAGCTCATCTAATCTTCAACACACACCCTAGTTATCTAGATTTAGCTGCCCGCGTCTATGATTAATAAGTAAATACGTTTTAAATAATAATATGATTCATTTTTAATCTTTCAAACAATGAGTTACTTTGTGATGGCTTACTCTGCCACCAACTTCACACCTTTAGTGGATGTGGAATAATATGTCTGACTTTACAGGTGCCTATACACAGCAAAAACTGACATTACATTGGTTAAAAGGCTCAAAGAAGCTTTTGGGTGTCCTGTAACCTTATCGACTGTCTGTGTTGGATGCTAAACTCTATGTTTAGATTTTAATTACTACAAAAACAATAATTTTACAAGATTTTATTAAGGCTGTAAGGAATGCTGTTGTCTTTGAAGACAACAGCATTCCCACTAATACTGCCTGACATGGACATAGAATGAAAAGAAGGAAGTGGATCCGTTTTCAGTTCTAAGGTTTCAGGCATCAGGACACAATGTAAAATATCATCTGGTCCTTAGTAGGTCTTAAAATAATGTAAATGCAACCTCAGTTAAACTTGAAAACATGACATATTACACTGTTATTATTTATTCATCAAAAATTGAGTCAAAAAACAAAAACGTGTGAGAAACTAAGTACACCCTGCTTCATCTCAGACTCTAAAGGCCTCGGTTAGCATGTTAAATGTTAAAGCTTGATGAGAGTACAGTTACAAAAAGATTGAACAAGTATGTCTTGTTTGGAAGGGTTGCTGGAGAAAGCTTCTTCTCTCTTACAAGAACATGGCAGCACAGCTTAAGTTTGCAAAGTTGCATCTAAACAAACCACAAGAGCAAACTCCTTAAACATATCAGTGCACAGTGAAGATGTTTGGCCATAATACGCACTGTAAACTTAGAACTGAGCTAGCATATCAGCACAAACACCTCACACCAACTGTGAAGCATGGTGGTGGAGGTTTGATGATTTGAGGTATTTTTGCAACCACCGGACCTGGAAACTTTGCAGTCATTGAGGAAAAGGTGAAGCCATGTGACTGTCAGCTAAAGCTTGGCTGAAATTGAGTTGTGCAAGAGGACATTGACAGCAAAGCATCAAATCTACAACACAATAACTGGAAAAAAAGAAAGAATCGAGGTGTTGCAATGGCCGAGTCAAAGCGCAGACCTCATCCTGATGAAATGCTGTGACAGGAGAGTTGAGCATAAACAAACACAATGCAACGGCAACCCTCAATGAAATTAAACAACACTGTAAAAAAAGAAAGAAAGAAAAAAAGAGTGGGCCAAAATTCCTCCACAACGTAAGCAGCTGTTAGTCATACAGAAAATGATTACTTCAACTTATTCTTGCTAAAGGCGGTTTTACAAGCTACTGAATCATGGGGTATACTTGGTTTTCCCACACACTGCTTCTGTAGTTTGGCTAAGGTTGTGTTAAATATATAAAGAAATGATTTAATATGTCATGTGTCGTTCATATGAGGTTGTGTTGAATAATTTTAAGACCTGCTGACACAAGATGGGTTTTTCTTTGTTATGTCCTGATTAAGGTTATTATAGCTAGCTAAAAATTAAAACTAAACACTTTTATTAAAAAATAAAATAAAGCATATTCAGGAAACACCCTTAGTTTAAAAAACAATTGTTACAACTTGCCTGATGAGGCATTGATGGATGTGTTTATTAAGACTCTGGATGTCGTCAAGACAGCTTTGTTTTTACTGCAATCCTTGGTTTTCCTAAAACTGACATATACCCTCCCTATATTGATAATAAAAAGACTAAAATGAAGACTGAAACTGAACGGAATTAAAAACATAAAGTGAAAATGAAATGAATTAGAAAATGCAAAACTATAATAACCTGTATTTCACATGACTATATGCTGATTTTAAAAATATTTTATTTGTAAACTAGTGAACAAAAACAGTTTATTTGACATTTTATCCCTAAATCCATATATCTAAAATCATATAATGCGTTTTTCTTTCTTTTCTTTTTTTTTTAGCAAAATAAAACATTTTACAATAGCAAATTCAAAAAGGTTTAAAAAAACAAAACAAAACAAGCTTTACAGTGAAACAAGCAAATCCAATTCCCGAGCAACAAGAGTTTTTTGTGTGCGTAACTAATTTTATTCAGACTAAAACACAATTGTTATATAATCTTTTATACTGAGGTTGTATCATGTCTTTTCAGTTCTAGATATGCTGCTGTTTTATAAAGATTTTGAGCTGTACAGATTAAGTTTCACTAAAAATATACTAAAGTACAAAATCACAAGATTTCATTTGATTAATCACATTCGTTGCTTTGGATATTTAAAGTTTGTATCCTTAGTAAATCTAAAAATTGAAGAAAATATCCCACTAGTAGAAGTAACACTGGAATTGCTTTATTTCTCTCTTTTGTGACATCGTGTCTCCTCTCCTTAGTCCATATCCACTCAGTTGTTGTTGGTTTTTTTTAATAAGGAAAAAAAAAATCAGGAAAATAAAAATAACAACAAGAAATCCTGCTGATTCCACAATGTTTATTTCTTCTTTTTCTTCTTCTTAGGAGGTCCTTGATCTGAATCGCTGCTACTTCCTGAGTCTGAGCTGTCTGAGGACGAAGATGAGGAGGAAGAAGAAGAGGATGAGGAGGAGGAAGAGCTGTCATCGTCGCTGTCACTGCTGCTGTCATCTGAAGAGGAGCTGGAGGAATCGCTGCTGTCTGACGATGAGTCACTGGAGGAGCCGCCTGAGCCGCTGCTGCTGTCGCTCGAGTCTTTAGCCCTGAGAACAAGTGGAGGAAAATCTGAATATCCAACGCTGAACACCAGAGGTTTGGTTATTAAAGGTCTCAGGCTGTACCTGTTACAGTCCCTAAGGTGCATCTCACTTGCTGTAATACTCGGTTTACAAACACTGGAACTCAGAGGACACAACGTCAACTACAAGTGCTGATTTTGCATACCTGGAACATTACCTGCACACCAATTTGTTTTCTCACACGCGAATTCTAGGAAAATGTGGGTTGGGACATTATCCAGAGTTGCCCTTTCACACGTGTAGCGTGATGAGATAATACGTGTTAGCTGCATTTTTTCCACGATGGGGAAATTGGTGCAGCTGGGTGTCACGCAGACTTCGCGGATGCACACTTGACAACGATTTTACGGTTTTCCTTTTGGATGCTGAACAGAACAGAACAGTCGCACGATGAGCTCTCTGATAATCATGCCTTTACCTGCCTCTTTTACGAGCAGGGAGTGACAGTGTTATAATTCTCAACAGCTACTTTCATATACCCCTGTTATGTCTGGTACCGATGGGATTTGATGGCATTTTCCCCTCCGACCCTCAAACAAACAAGCAAAACTAAGAAAGCCACAACACTTGGAACAGCAGAACTTTGAGAGATTTTTCAAGTCGACTCTGGCTTAAAATGCATTCAAGTGACAATTTTTTTTAAACCACACACACATTCTTATAATGCTTTTACACCCATTGAATAATTGCTGTGTCAGGCACCCTTACCACCAGGGGGCAAACTTTTGAGTCAATCTTCAGTTAAATATACCCAAACGGGCACTCTTATTGCTCTCAAAAGAAGAAGAAAGGTTAATTCATTTGGGAAAGATAAAGAGTGCTCAGCTGAAAGGAGTGCTGTGGCTGTTTTATGGCTGTCGCAGTAAGAAACGCAAAGGTGTCAAAGAGGAAAAGACAAAACAAAAAACAACAGGTTTTGGTGTAGCTGCTTCAGTTTCACAGTCCTGTTTTTGCACATGCTGGGAGAACAAAACAGAGACATTGTGCCTTGTTATTAGTAACAACTGTGCTTTTGCTGTGATCACAGCTCGGACTACAACAATGGTGTTTCTAACACATCGCTGTGATGAGACCAGAATCTACCATTAAAAAAATAAACAAAATAAAAGTTTTAATGCATTTTCAACGGATAAACAAAGTGTTTAAGATTACCACAGATGACATTTAGAACAGTCAAGTTGATGGATTAGACCAGGGGTGTCAAACTCAAATACACAGTGGGCCAAAATTCAAAACTGGAACAAAGTCGCGGGCTAACGTTAATATTTATTGAAATATATTTATTCCTCCAGCTATAAGAATGAATCTTTTCTTATGGACTCAAACACATTTTGCTGAAAAACTGAATATGGAACAAGCAAAGCTTAATACTAAACAATATATATATATTAGCTGTATAATACCAGTAGGCCAGCTCTAATAGTAATTTGGTATGGCTTCGCGGGCCAAATGTAATTAGGCTGCGGGCCAGAGTTTGACACCTATGGATTAGACATTATGGCTATGAGACAAAACACTGCAATCTTTAAGAGATTTGAAAAGGTTGCAAATGTAGTGATGTGCAGTCACCAAGAGCTTCCACAAGAGGGAGCTGTTTAGGGACGTTTCACTGACTTAAAACAGACTGGTTTTAATTAAAGCTTCAAAACAGGGAAGCAGCTCCGAAACAGATACTCAGGGATGCCAGCAACTTCCTGGAATCCCTCGCTGAGCAAATTTTAACACTAGGTTACACAACTATGGTTCCCATGTGACCTCATCAACTTTCAGGTGACCAAGTGTGAGCACCAAAAACAAACTAAGTCGTATCGCTTGGTTTATAGGATTTTTTCCCCCCGAAAATTAATCAGTCTAAAACTTGTTGAATTGCAAAACCGTAATCTAACCATTCTTCTCTGCTATAAATGTTACCCAGTATCATTTTGTGTAATAAGTTATTTTTTTAGGAATGTAATACATGAACTGTGCAACTCCACAGACCAGTATCGGGAAAGCAGGACTTATTCTTGTAACGCAAGTCCAACCTCAACTCCGATGTCCATGAATGCGAGCCTGCAAGGCCCATTGGCATATTCATAAAGCTCGCAAACACGCACTTAAATCCCGTTCCACTACTTTGCTACAGAATTTATTCACAGACATCATGGAGGTACAAAAAAAATGGAGGGGAAAACTTACGACTACGACAGATGAACACTTTATTTCTCTGCTTATTAACCGGAATACACCATAATGTAAAGGTGAAAGAAGTCCCCTTCTTATTTTTTTGTAATAAGTTTTGATGCTTATTTATCATCTAAGAGATGCACTGATTTCTAAAGTTTGTGTACATTAGCAGGAGTCACACTACATGGATGTAAAAGCCATTGGTCTGAATATGTGAGAATGCAATAAACGTCATTTTCCCCATTAAAATAACAGTTCTGATAAATTGCGATCTCAGTACCGATTAAAAAAAAAATAATAAAATAAATAATAATTGTGCAACCCTACTTTGTAGCAGGTCTGATAACAACATCATATCAGCTGTGACAGTTGGTCCACCTTACTTACTTCTTTTTCACTTTCTTCTCACTGGAGCCTTCTGTGCCTGGTCTGTAGAGACCAATATTTAAAACAAAAAAAAATTTTTTTTTTAGTGAACATCATTAGTGATTATAAAAAAAAAAAATCTGATGCACAAATATCTATATTAACACAGAGGTATTGTTGTACATAAAATTGCTTAATCTGATCAAGACACCTTACCCAGCTATGCTGAGCGGTTTGTTTTCATTTTCCTTGAGTTTCTTTTTCAGCTCAGTCGTTCTTGATGGCCTGTGCACATATTTCCTCTTCCCGGTGCATTCGTAGGTCCAGTGTCCCATCTCCAAACACTTCTGGCAGCGTACATGTTGTTTGTTTGCCTCCCTGTATGTAACAACAAAGGCTAATATGAATGTAAATAAACATGGCTGCGGGTACATCTCTTTGCTGTCACATACAGTTGTGGTAAGAAGTTTACATCCACTCATCGTGAGTGTCAATGTCATGGTAAGTTTGGACTTTCAATTACTTCCTTGGATTCTTTTTTTTTTCTCTCTATCCCCACAAAGTGTCAAATGTATGCATACATACTTAAATATATACATACACTCCCTTAAATATAGGGATGGGTACCGGTATCTGGTGCCATTATGGCACGGTTCTGACATAAACGGTAGTAACCAGACCGAAAAGCAGCGCACATTTCGGTGCTTTTTTTCCCTGAGATGTCA